TCCCTTCCTACTTTTCTCCTTTCCCCCATCTTAGTTCCTCTTTCCTTTTGAACAGTTTCTTCCCATTTCCCAATATCTGTTCTACATTTTGGATCTTATTTACTCTTTCAGCTTCCCACACTAGGGAGACAATACATGTGAGCCTGGTGTATTTTGCTTATCAGTATGGCAGGTCACATAATATATAGGATTATTCTATAATATTCATCCAAAGAGTCAAATGCAAAAGAGTGCAGGAAATCTGTCCACACATTAGAGACCCAAAGATCCAGCTGAGGGCCTGGATCCCATGGCAGTGTCCTCCATGAGTCCAGCTGGAGGCCTAGAGCCCACGAAAATGCCTTATGCAAGTCTGTATCAAGGATTTGCTCTGGGAAGACCCAAAGGCCAGTGGTGGAAGCCAGAAAGTCTGTGCCAGCAGCATGAATGATCTGTGCTAGCAGACTGAGGGATCTGCTCTGGAGCCAGGAAGCGATGTTCACGGTAAGGACCAGAGCTCCCCCAAAGAGAACTGCAGCCATCCTCAGTGACAGTGAGGACCTGATCTCCTCCTCCGATGAGAACAGCTGAGTTCATACCAGAAAGCTAGTGTGACAAGCTTCTCCAGAAGAATCAACTGCACACCCTCTTCCCCTCCAGTTCTCTGTTTTATGCTGCTGTTGGTAACTCTCCTCAGGTGGGCCTTCCACACCCAGCACCACACTGATTGAGTTCAGCTGGGTTTTACAAGTTGACCATTAGTGAATCTACCACACCCAGGCTGGCACTGAACTTGTGATTCTTCTGTCTCAGACTTCTGAGTAGGTGGGGTTACAGGCTTATGCGACTGCACTTCGCATATATAGGGTTTACTAGGGGAAAACTTGAAGTTGTAGAATATAAGCAGTCTTCCAAATGTTTTTTGTATCTCACGTCTTAGGCCAGTTGTACAGCATAGCTTTTGGCACCGTAGCAAATGACCTTCCCACAGAGAACAGCCGCTCCCTCTGTAATAAGGCTTAAGTTTCTACACTGTGTACTGTATTTGCAAATCAGGGTAGGGAATATCTAAGTGACTGTGTGTGTACCAGTGGCTAGACAGGACGAAAAGCTTGGAAATGGACATTTAGGGCCATCCTGATTTCTCTTTTATCACATATGTCCCATTTTGAGTAAATAAAGTGAAAACTTCTTCTAGTAACCTTCTCTACCTTCCATAGGCCTTTCTGTTTTTTCTTGTTTTGGGTCTACTTTCAGTCTATGGCAGATAGCAAGCCAGTTTTTCCAGCACCATTTGTTAAAGAGGCTATCGTTCTTCCAATGAGTTTGTTTGGCCCCTTTGTCAAAGATTAGGTGGCTGAGTGTGTTTGTGGTTGTGTCTGTGTCTTCCAGTCTGTTCCATTGATCTTCTAGTCTGTTTTTTAGCCAGTACCAGGTTGATTTTATTACAGTAGCTTTGTAGTGTAATTTCAGGTCAGGGATTGTAATTCCACCTGACATGTCCTTGTTGCCCAGGATTGCTTTTGCTTTTCTGGGTCTCTTCTGGTTCCAGATGAATTTAAGGAATGTTTTCTCTAGATCTGTGAGGTATGCTAATGGTAGTCTAATGGGAATTGCATTGAATCTGTACAACAATTTTGGTAGTATGACCATTTTCACAATGTTGGTTCTTCCTATCGATGAGCAAGGAATATTTTTTCATTTATTGAAAGCCTCTTTGACCTCTTTGTTCAGAGTACTGTAGTTTTCATTGAATAGATCTTTTACTTTGGTTTTTTGGTGTTTTTTTTTGTTTGTCTTGTTTTTGTTTTATGAGACAGAGTCTCCCTGTGTAGTTCAGGCTGGCTTTGAACTCACTATATAGCCCAGCCTGGCCTCAAACTCTCATCGCTCCTCTTGCCTCAGCCTCCCAAGTGCTGAGATTATAGGTTTGTGCCACCATGCCCAGCCTGTAGGCCTTTTAAATACCTTTGCTCTTCTCACATTTATTCACTTAATTATTTTCTTTCTTCTTTTTTTTTTGTCTTTTTGAGACAGAGTCTCACTATGCAGTTCAGGCTGGCCTTGAGCTCACTTTGTAGCAGAAGCTAGCTTTGAACTCACAATGATCCTCCTGTCTCAGCCTCCCAAGTGCTGGAATTACAGGCGTGTGCCACTACGCCTGGCTCCTTTAATTATTTCCTAATAGAGGTTTGTTCTTTCTAAACTTCTCATCTTTACATTTCCTAATCTGGAATGCTTTTTCCTTTTCTCTATATTCTCATCCTTCAAGAGCTGCTTTTGTTGCAGCTCTTCTGTGATACCTCCCTCTGATAATCTCAATTCATATACCGAATACAGCTTCCATATATTTAGTACCTACCGGTAGTTTTATGTATACATTTCTTTCCATTAAAATTACTTAAAGATAGGCTCATGTAATAAACATGTTACTTTGTAACTTGTGTACCTATTGGTCTTATGTGTAAAAATTCAACAGGTAAGTGATTAGTATGTATACCTTTATGATGTTTTACATGAGTAATATTTTAAGGTTCTCTATATCCTCTTTGGACTGTGAATATGGTTAAATATAGTGCAGATTCTTTATTAAAACATCTTTTTTATTCTGTTGCAATTAATCCCTGTTTTAAAAATTTATTTTTTGAGTTTGGTATCAATTACTGTCTGTTGGTTGCTCCATTGGCCAACTAGATTTCTCCATTCTAACTTCAGCAAGAAGTTGAGAACTTTAAGAAGCTAAATCTCATTAATGAGAGCAATCTGAAAAGCCAACACTTGAACTTGCTTTTGAGCCAAACCAAGAAGTTTCTGTAACACTTCTACAGTCCAGGCAAGGTATGTGAGCCTGCTTTTGAGTCTGAAGCTATTAAAACAGCTCAAAATTGTTGTAAAAGATTTCTCCTTTTCTCTTCATTTGTGGAGTAATGTTAGGTACCTGGTCAAATACTAGACATTTAAAGTTTCACTTCCTTATATCCATTTTTGATGGACATATCAAAACATATTATAAACATTTTGGAAACTTGAAAATACAGATTGTAAATTTAGTGAGATTGATTTGCAATAAACATAGAAAGGTTGGGTACCATTTTACTATTACTTGCCTGAATAGGCAGGTGATCACAAAGCTGGCCTGGGAGTCACTTATAATACCAGCTCATGCTCAAAACCAAGTGCTTACTTAGAAGTAGGCAGCATTGATGTTTTCTTAGTGTATCTGATGTGATTTTGATATTGCTAGAAATATTTTTCTTTCTTTCATTCTTTTCTTTTTTTTTTTTTTTTGGTACCAGGACTCAAACTCAGGACTTTGCACTTGCCAGGCAGGTACTGTGCCACTGAGCTATATCCCCAGCCCTACAAATATTTTTCTTTACAAAATAAAATTTTTACCTACTTGCTGATCTTTAGAATACACCTGTAAAATCATTCTTTTGTTTGAAGACCTTAGCTCTGTGTAAGAATGTAAATACATTTGGGAGAGTCACAGGTTAAATCTAACTTTTTCAGGCAAGTGCCAGTGCTTTATTTTTAGTCTTTCTTGAAGATGTGTTTAAAAAACCTTTCAAAACTTCAATTATAAGTGATGATAGAATGAATTATATAATGAAATCCCCACTTGTGCCTGTTGCCTCCCTTTAACACTTAATCCATCTCATTCCCAGTTTTGTTCTCCTCAAGACTAGTCACTCCATTTCCTTCTGAATTATTTTGAAGTAATCCCCCAATCATATTACTCATTTTTTATTCATAAGTATGTCTCTAGATGTCTTTATTTATTTTTTGATACAAGGTCTCACTATGTAGCCCAGGCAGGCCTTGAACTCACAGCAACCCTCCTGCCTCAGCCTCCCAAGTGATGTGATCACGGAGATGTGCCACCACGCCCAGCACTCTGGGTGTCTTTAAAATGATGAGTTATGTCTTTTAACATATAACACAGTACTATTATCTCATCTAAAATTAATAGTAATTCTTTACTGTCAAGGATCTACTGTTCAGATTTCCTTATTCACTTTTTCAAATCACTGTGCATAAAAGATGAATGCATTATAACAGGTTTCTGTTAGTCTACAGGGTCATACAATTTTTCTCCTTATCTGTTCTTCTTTACGGTGTATTATGGGAGAAACTGGTTTGTTCTGTGCTGTCAAGGTTCTCACATTCTAGATTTTATTGATTGCATTCCCCTCCTTTCGCTTGGCCTGTTTTCTAGTCCTGAATCTTCTGTAACTGTTACTCCATACAGAGGCTTGCTTAGGTTGAGATTCAAATTTTTGCAAGCATAGGATGTGTTGCATGCTGGCTTCAATTCTGTCTTTGAACAATCTTCCCGTCTCAGCCGTCTGAGCAGATGGGACCACAAGTGTGCGCCCCCACCCTAGCTGACCGGCAGCCCAAGCACACTATACCCCCAGGTCTCTTTGTTACTTTTACTAGGTAACACATTTCTCTCTTTTTCATTCAGAGCAATTTGATTTTTTTTTTCTTTAAGGCTTTTATTTTCATTGATTTTTTTTTCTTCCAGTTTCGTTAACTTCTGCAATTGTTGCTGCCTTTTCTTCCTGGCTGAGGTATATTTTGTTCTTCCTTTTCTGGTTTAATAGGGTGGAAACTTAGATAATTAATAGTGATATTCTTCTTTTGTATTATAAGTATTTTGTGCTACAGATTTCCCTCGATGCACTGATTCAGATGTATCTTGTACATTTTAAAAGTGTATTTTCATTTTCATTCAATTCCAGATATTTTCTGGTTGTTTTAAAAATTGTATTCAGTTCATCAGTTGAAATGTTTTTGTTCATTTTCTTGAACAAAATCATTAAGGAGAAGTTTAAATTGTTGATCAGAGACCTTTTTCTTTTCTAATAAAAGCATGTAGTCCTATACATTTCCATTTGACCCCTACTTTAATTACATTCTGCAAATTTTGATATGTTGTATTTTAATTTTCATTTCTTTCAAGTGTGTGTGTGTGTGTGTGTGTGTGTGTGTTACTCAGGATTGGACCCAGACCTTGGACCTCCTAGGGTAACTGCTCTATCATTGAGCTACATCACTACAAATACATTTTCTGAATGCTTTTAGGACTCCTGCTTTAATCTGTGAATTATTTTTGGAATGTGTTGTTTAATATCCAAGTATTTGAAAAATTTTCTTTCTGCCATCAATTTTATGTAATTCCATTATAGTCATAGGTTATAATTTACATAATTTCAATTCTTTAAATTTCTTTTTGTACTGAGAATTGAACTCAGGACCTCGTGCTTGCCAGGCAGGCATTGTGCTGCTGTGCTGCTGAACTATATCCCCAGCTCAATATTTTTATAATCCATAATATACTTTTCTTGGTGAATGTACCACATACATCTGAGGAGAATATTTGTTATAGTCTTTCTGAATAAAATATTCCATAATGTCTATTCGATTCATTTGGTTACTGATGTTGATAAGTTCTTCCATATCCTTTCTGGTTTTTGGTCTGATAGTTGTTTTTGCTGAGAGAATGTTGAAGTCACCAGCCATAACTGTAGCTTTCTGTTTCTCCTTTTTGTTCTGTCAGTTTTTATCTCACTTATTTTGAAGCTGTTTTATTAGGTACATTGCATTCCTAGGTTTATTGTGTCTTCTTGGCAAATTAACTGTTATCTAAAAATATAACAATGTTAAGGCGTATTTTTAATATCTGTATTTTTGGAGGTTTTGTGTTTGAGGCAGGGTCTTGTTTGTAGTGCAGACTGGCCTTGAACTCAAGGTGATCCTCCTGCCTCATCCTCCCAAGTGCTGGGCTTACAGGCATGTGCCACCACACCCAGCTTAAAATGTATTTTTATAAAGGCAGTTCTTGTCTATGATGGCAGTAAGGTCTGTGGACAAGGATAATATGGTTCAGGTATGAGGCTGTGCAGTGATTTTCTTTGATAGCAGTAGCATTTGGAAAATCTTAGAAAAGTTGGCATGCCACTTAGTCTAGCAGTTCTTAAATTTAGCTAGTATCTAATTCACTAGAAAGCTTGTTGAGATAGATTAAAGGACTCTACCAAGTTTCTGACTCAGTAAGTTAGATGGAATGTAAAAATACACATTTCTGACAATTTCTAGGTCATCCTGAAGGTGCTGATTGGGACCACAGTTTGAACATCAGTTTTAGCTTAGTCTCTGAAATATCAGCTTTTAGCAAAAACTGTATGGTAGACAGTCACAACTAATGTGCCTAGAAGACTGGAATGGAGTGTTTTGTTTTTTACAGTTTTTTTGAAGTGTAACTTACACACCTAAAATTAAGCCACTTTAAGTATGGACTTGTGTTTTGGTAAATCTGCACGGTTGTACATCAGCACCACACATTTCCATCATGTTAAAAACTTTCCTCATGTTCATTTGCGTCAGCCCCAGCACTCACCTTCATTCAGCCTTAGGCAACAAGTTATCTTCCTTTCTCTATAGTTTTGCATTTTCCAGAAGTTTTATATGTATGGAATCATATGATACATGGTCATGTATATGGTTGTTTAGAATGTTTTTGAGATTTATCTATGTCATTACATGTATCAGTTTCCTTATTCCTTTTTGTTACTAAGTATTATTCCATGATATAGATATACTACCTTTTATTTATCTGATCAAAAAACAGTTGATGGGTATTTAGATTGTACCTAGTTTGGGCTTTAATAAAAAATGCTATTTTTTTTTTTTTTTTTTTTGGTCTTTTTGAGGCAGGGTCTTGCTATGCAGTTCAGGCTGGCTTTAAGCTCACTTTGTAGCCCACGCTGGTCTTGAACTCACAGTGATCCTCCTGCCTCAGCCTCCCGAGTGCTGGGATTACAGGCATGAAGCACCACAGTTAAAAAATGCTATTATGGGCCAGGGATATAGCTCAGCAGCACAAGCGCCTGCCTGGCAAGCGCGAGGTCCTGCATTTGATTCCCAGTACCAAAAAAAAAAAAAAAAAAGCCTTAAAAAATGATATTATGAACATTCATGTATAAGATATGACCTATGAAAAAGGATTTACACTATTATAATACCTATGAAAAAGGAGATATTAATATATCATTCCAGGCTTGTAGGTGATATAAATATTAACATATTCTTATTCCCTATCTATATACATTTCAGATATTTTAATATCTATTATAAATACTTCATGCTTGAAATTAGCTATTTTTTGATAATTTTATGTCAAAATTATAAATTGCTACATAATAGTCTATAAAATTTTTATAACATATCTCTTTAGAGGTAACCAAAGCATTCCATAAATCTTAGTCTTCAGCAAAGTGATATATCTACTCTTGCTCATGGGTGCGATTCCCAATAAACAAACCTGGAAAAAAAAATAGAAAATTGAAATAAAACTTAACCTTTGATTATGGAAATGTTCAGATGCAGATAAAAGGAGAAGAAACTGGGTAATGAAGTCCCATGTTCCAGCTCTCCTAATTTTAACAGCTGTTAGTAGTTTGACTTTATTTTTTTTATCTTTTCTTTGCCTCCCCATTTATTTCTAGTCGTTTATATTGAATCTCAAAAATTGTATCATTTTGCCTCAAAATGCATCATATTTTTCAGCTTAATAGTGACTGAAGGGAGACTAAAGCTTCTGTTTGACTTTTTACCAAATGGTTTCGGTAGTCATTCATGAATATTCTGCCAGATCCTCTGTTCCATTAGTTACAAAAGAACTTCCTCTACTTGGGCCCGGTGGCACATCCCTGTAATCCCAGCACTCTGGGAGGCTGAGATGGGAGGCTACAAGTTTGAGCCCAGCCCAAGCTATTAAGCAGTTTAGCAAGACCCTGTCTCAAAATTTTTTAAAATATTAAAAATTTTAATTAAAGGACTGGAAATGTGGCTCAATGCAAAGGTTCAGTTTCCAGGGCCAAAAAGAAACAAACAAAACCAGTGATCTTGTAATTCTTTTTTGGAGCAGGGGATACTAGAGATTGAACTTTGCACCAAGCTACAGCCCAACCTTCTTTTCTTTTTAAAATTCTGAGACAGAGCCTATCTACACTGCACAGGCATGGCCTGAAGCTGCAGTCCTCCTGCCTCAGTGTCACAGGGTGCTGGGATTGCAGGCATGTGCCACCGCACTCAGCTTGTGATCTAATTCGATCATTCTTTTTACATTTTTTACCTCAAATTTAAGAAGCTCTTTTATCAACTCTTTTCTTACCCTGAAATTCAGTTTGTCCAGAAAAGGAAGGATAAATCATGCTTCTTTTTATTTAGTCTATCAATTTGCAAAATAAGTTTGTGTTCTGGCAATCTCAAAATGTGATTGAGCTTTAAAGTATCATTATGAATTCATGACATTTATGTATTTGATGCCTTTAATCCATTTCAGTTCTAGTGTGACCCTTCAAATTCGCTCTGTGTTCTTATAACCTGTGTTAATAGTTGTTTTCTTTTTACCTCAGTTGCTTTTTGGCTCAAGATTTCTGGGCTCGTTTTTTTTGTTCCAGACTTTATTTCTCTGAGGCGACCTGATCAGTAGGAAATGGAATTTAGAGAACATAATCCAGTGCTGCAAGCTTACTCTTTTGGGAGGTTGTTTTCCTAGACCTTTGTATATTTTTTTGACAAAGGTACTAGACTTAATGATTTTTCAGCATATGCTCATTTTTAATCTTAAGATTTTATATCATTAGGAAAATGGCATTAACCCAATTCTTTTATATTTAACTTTCCTTTAGAGAAGATTTCTTTTACTAGGCCCTATGATAGGCACTAATATTCAATCTGTTGTTTTCAGGGAAACAAAAGACGTGCTCTGAGGATCTGAAGGGATGATGGCATAAGGAAATAAATTTTAATTTAATAAATGAAGCGATGTTAGTCTGTTACTATAACAGAATACCTGACATAATCAACTTGGAGGAAAGATTTATTTTGGCTTACAGTTTTGGAGGTTGCAACCCATGATTGCTTGGCCTTATTCTCATTGGGCTGGGCGTGGTAGTGCATGCCTGTGATCCCAGTACTTGGGAGGCTGAAGCAGGAGGATTGCTGGTAGTTCAAGGCCAGCCTGGGCTACATAGCAAGATCCTGCTTCAAAAACAAAATAAAACAACAAACACATTGGGAACATGTAAGGGAGAAGAGCAGTTTTTATTATGGTGGCTGCAAAGCAAAAAGCAAAAAGGAGGAGCCAGGGTCCAATATCTTTTTTTAGGACATATTCCTCTATGATCTGATCTCCCACTGGACCCTACATCTTATTGGCTTCCAACACCTTCTGAGAGCACTAAATGGAAGGCCAAGCCACTAATGCATGGGCCTTTGGAGGACACTCCCGATCCAAACTCTACGAGAAGCAGTAAACGGACAATATGCAGAGATGGCACACGATAAGATTAATTCTTTGGGCATAAATGCTTTATAATCACAAGGAAGGTAGCATCTGTCTTGGTTATTAAAGAAAAGGTATGAGTGCAGCTGGTTAGATAAAAGATAAAAGACAAGGACTATGAGAGGAAAATGCATATTAAAAAATAGATTGAAATAGAGAATGGCAATAAATAAGCCAAAGTGCAGAAAAATAAGAGCCTAGATTTCTAGGAGAAAAAGGGAAGTGCTAGAAGATATTACCTAGAAGTATGAAGTGATCTAGTTTATTCCTCAGAATAATGATTCTGATAACAGAAAAATATTGGGAGAAGAAATGGCAAGCAGCTAAATTCACTTTCAGTTTTACAAACGTCAACCTAGAATAGAACTAGGCAGAGAGTAGGCACTTAATACTATTTGTTGAATGAAATAACAGAAAATTATATGAATAAAAGAAGTTAATAAGTATGAATTAAAACCATATAGACATAAAGGCTATTTTTTGACACTACTAATTGATTCATCTTATGGCTTACTTTGTATTGAGATTTTCATGAACAAGTCATCAGTAAGTAATGTAACTTAATATAAAAATAGAATAATAGCTAAAGGTTATAAATGGCAAACTCACAAAAGCAGAAGTATGAATGTTAACTAGATACATGCAAATAAGCTCAACTGCATTAATAACAATGAAGGAAATGCAAATACTGTTTAAACCCTAAAAGGTGGAAAAATAAATTTAGGAGTCTAAGCAAAACCCAGGCTTGACCAGAGTATTATGTCCCTGGGACTCTCACATGCTGCTGATGTAAGCTGGTGAAAACACTATAGCGCATGTCTTAATTACTTTTCTCATGACTGAGACAGAATGCCCAACACCCAGACGGAAGGGGGAAAGGTTTATTTGGCTCACAGTTTGTAGGGGTTTCAGGCCACAGTCAGCTGGCTCCAAGGCAGGGTGGCATGGCAGAGGGCACCACAGAGAAGAAACATTCCTGCCAGGCAGAAGGCAGAAAGCAGCAAGTGACCGGCATGACCACAATAGCTCCCTTCCTGTCCCTGGGTAGCGCTCAGACCTTAATCCCAGCATCACATCCTTGAGGCCAACAGCATGCACTCTAGATCCAGCCACCTCCACAGAGCCCCGCCTGTGACCCCATGAGGCTCCAGGGGCACGTCTCGACACAAGCCGCAACAGAGTGGTTTGTCAGTCAGTATTCAGAAAGTCACAAGATGCATTTCTGCATTTTCACTCAGATATAAGCATTAGAGAAATGCACACATCTGTAAAAAGAGACACATTTGACAATGTTGATTGTAGTATTATTAATTAAACCAAAAAGTTAGAAATAACAAATGTCTATCTGTAGGAGAACAGATAAATGTTGACATATTTATATAATAACATATAGTTCATTACTGGACATAAACAAATCAGAGCTAAATGAATAAAACATGAAAAAAGCATAGAAAATGGTACCTAAAATATTCTGTCACTTATGTAAAGCTAACTAAGCAAAAATATTATTATATAGTAATAAAAACAGCAAGTGAGTACCTTTACTTTTGATTTTACAAACTTGTGCCCAGAATAGTACCTGAAAATTAGGTACTTAATACTGTTTGCTGAATGAAAGAACAAAAGGTTATTGCATGAATAAAAGAAATTAATGAGTGTGAAGAGAAACAGGAGAGAATAAAACCTATATTTTTGGGTGGGAGAGATAGCTCAGCAGCACAGCGCCTGCTTAGCAAGCACAAGATCCTGAGTTTGATTCCCGGTACAAAAAAAACCCTATATTTTTGTCATTACTACTTGATTCATCCTCTGATTTGCTTAGTACTGTATCATAAGATCCTAAACTGGGCATGGTAATGCACGTCTGTAATTCCAGCACTCGGGAGACTGAGGCAGAAGCATTGCTGTGAGTTCAAGCCCAGGCTAGGCTGTTACATAATGAGTTCAAGGCCAGCCTGAACTACATAATGAGACCCTGTCTCAAAAAAACAAACAGAGTTAGGCATGGTAGTGCATGTCTGTAGGAGCACTCAAGAGAATAAAGTAGGAGAATTGCTGCAAGTTCAAGCCAGAACTGAGGTACACAGGCCAAGTACATAGTGAGACCCTCTCTCAAAAAAACCACACCAAATTAAATGAACAAAAAGCCCAAATTTAACAGCCTGCTATGTCTGAGGAGGAAAATCAGGAGGGAAGTGGGATTTGGGAATGATAAAGAACTTTAGCCTTTCTTCAAAATAAAGAAAAAGAAAGGAAAGGTCATGAATAGATATAGCAGACTGGGCATAGTAGCACACACGTAACCCAGAACTCTGGGAGGCTGAGTCAGGAGGTTTGCAAATTTGAGCCTCTCCTGGACAACTTAGGGCTTAGCAAGACACTGTCTCAAAAAATTGAAAAAGGGCTAGGTCTGTATCTCAGTGCAAAGGCCCTGGGTTCAGTTTTCAGTACCCACCCCCAAGATATAACAAAATTTAAATTTTGTAAAGTTATATGATAGACAACTATTTGTTTTTTTTTTCTAATACACTTGAAATGTTTCTAATGAAAAAACCTTTGAACACAGAAAATTTCAGAATTAGTCTTATCAAAGTGAAATATTTTCCTAGCATCTAAATAATTTTAAGAGCTACTTATTTTACAGATTTAAATTGGCTCAGATGCTGTTTGATATTTCAGAAATAACTTTTGCAACAAAGGCCCTATTCATTGCCCACTGAGTTCCAGAATCTCTGAGGATACATCCTTCAAGGACACCCAAAACATCCTGAATACCCAGGCTACAAGATCCTAAGGAAACACCAAGATTTTATCCTGTTGTTAAAGAACCAAAAGCCATTGCTCTAAAGGTACACAAAACAACCAAGATACAAAGCCTAAGGTTTGTATCCTTTAACATTACTGAATGAAGTGTTTTTCTTTCTATTATATTTTTTGAATGTACATATTTATTTATTTATTTATTTTGGGTACCAGGAATTGAGCTCAGGACCTCACAGTTGCCAGGCAGGCGCTGTGCTACTTGAGCTCTATCCTGGCCCAAAATGTACATTTTAAATTGTAGGAATTCATTTAAAAATAGTAATTTATCATAGTGATGTTTTCCTTCGGTAAGAGATAACTTCTTTACAATTGAGTAGCGTAATTAGAGATGGTCAGAAGGTATGAAGAAGAATCATGCTAAGCTGTATTTTCTTTAATCCCTGTGCTACAAACCTAGCAAAGGGTCTTGCTTGTTAAGTTTCCCAACTTGTATGTGAGGTGTTTGAGTTTTGTGACTTCACATGATTTCACAATGTGTCATCCACAGTATGAAGATGTTTAAGTTGGTTTCCCAGTCAGAAGGTTTTCATTTACTTGTGAGGTTCACACTACTGAAGTCATTGCAATGTTTGGCTGCTTCTTCTTTAGAGTGCAAGAAACAGAAAAACAAGGCACGGTGCAAGTCCCCCTCTAGATGTCACGTTGGTTGGGTGATGGAGTCCAGAGATCATGGGCCAAGAACACCTTCTGTCAGGTATCACATCTGTCGCTGTCACACATTGCTTTTGTGTGTTCCTCATTGAAGTTTGTTGAAAAAGTAACTAATTAGAGATTTCTTTTTTTTTTTTTTTTTTTTTTTTTTTTTACCGGGAATTGAACTTGGGACCTTGTGCTTGCCAGGCAGGTGCTTGTACTGCTGAGCTATATCCCTGGCTTACTTAGAGATGTTTTAAAATTAATATAAAATATAGGGAAAATAGTAAAAAGATGCCAAAGGAGGGAAAATAAACAGGACAGTTTTATTGTAAGTACAGGAACAATTTTGTTATTTTGTTTTTTGGGACCAGCTATCAAACTCAGGACCTTATACTTGGCCAGTTTGGTTTTTATTTGAATTATTTTTCACAAATGTTGCCCCTTAGATTTGCAAACCACGTCGATGTGAAAGTTATCTTTGGAAAGATTCTAGATTCTTAGTGGCATTTAGTAGGTTCTTGATGGGTATTTATTCAGGGAATGTGGGTGCTACACAATCTACTCAAATTACATAAAGAATATGGAAACAAAGTACATTATTTTGGAGTTTTTCCTTTTGAGGGAAACTGTTTAGATAATAAGATTATTAGCAGGAAGTATTTTTTTTAATTTTTAGAAAATATTGTTATTTACCTCAAAAGAGATGATAGTGCAAACTATTAGAGTGCCAGTTGTACGCAAAGAAGGCGGGCATGGTGGTGCACGCCTGTAATCCCAGCACTTGGGAGGCTGAGGCAGGAGAATCACCTCAGGTCAAGACCAGCCTGTGCTACATACATAGTGAGTTCAAGGCCAGCCTGAACTACATAGAGATACCCTGTCTCAAAAAATAAAGTATTGGTATGTTTTGTCCTGTAGAGGAAACACAGAGGTGATTTATTGTTTTTTTGTTTGTGTTTCTTTTAAAATTTATGTCATGTTAGTACTTGATATTTTCAGAATGATTATCTGGTGTTTTTTTTTTTCATTTGGAAACTTAACTTTCAGAACAAATATTTTTTGACTGGTTACTAGAAGGGAAGGATTACTTTTATGAAAAGTGCTAAAAAAAAAGTGCTTGGGAATTTATCATAATCTCAAAAATCTTGAAATTTATATTTATATTGATACTCATTTAGTAGTTTACATTGTTCACTTAACTATACTGTCCATGAGTGGCAGACTGTCAGGAGCAAGGCAGGGATGTTCACTCTCATCATTCCTATCCAGTACAGTTCTTTAGACTTTAGCTAGCACAATTAAGCAAGAGAAAGAAAGCACAAATTTAAAAAGCCACTATGAGATACTATTTCACACCCACTAGCATGGTATTATGGAATGAATTGTGTCCCCTAGAAATTCTAGTTTTGAAACCCTAGGTCTTGATGTGACGGTATTTGGAGTTAAAAAAATTAAACGTTTGTAAGGATGGAGTCCTAACCTGATAGGGTTTGAGTCTTTCTAGGAAAAGGAAGAGATACCAGAGATTTCTCTGTGTGTCTGCTAAAGAGACAAGGCATGTTCAGTCACAGCAAGGTGTCCATCTGCAAGTCAGGAATAAGATTTCACCAGAACCAACCCAGTTAGCATCTACTATTCTAGCTGCTAGAATTGTAAGGAAGTAAATTTCTGTTGTTTGAGCCACCCAATCTGTGTTATCTCGTTATATAGCAACCTGAACTGACTGAACTTTTTTTTCTTTGGCCTTTTTTTTTTTTTAAAGATAAAAGGAGGGAAACATTAACAGACATACAACATTTTACAACATATCACAAGCACAGTACAGACAA